TTTGACCCAGCTGAAAAGATGAACTGTCATGTTTGACTAACTACATAGAATTCACCAGGCATATACTCGGTTCTCATGACGAGTATCCTTTTTTATTTTTCTTATACAACAATAGTCTCTACATTTTTATAAAGGCGCTCTTGGCTGCAGAAGAATGATATCTTTTCAAATCTTTCGTTAAAACCACTCTTCGGGTCGAGTTAGATTGGCACATTGCCAACTCGTTGTCAGCGCATACTCAAGACTACTTGTTATTTTATTACCTGCAGGTATTGATTTCGAATCTTCGCTAATACGTCTAGCAAATTTAGAGCATGTATAAAGCAAAGTAAAGCATTACGAGTGAAGGTTAGACCACGTCCGAAGGTCAATATTTCAGGCTCCGTGGCCTTTGAGGCACATCCTTATTGAGGGTTTACTGAGGCACATCCTTATTGAGGGTTTATTCTCCAGCTACATATTGAAAGTCCAGACAAGAGCATAGAAACCAGTAAATATAAACAAAAGGTCTTTTCAAGAGTTACTGATTGACTGAGCTAATATAGGAGATTTTTACTGACTATTTTTCAAAATGTGTGATTTTTAATGTTAAGAAAAATGCGAAAAAGCAATAAATCTTAATATTTTCTGAAACATTTCTTTTTTTTAAAGAAAAATGGCAATTTTCGTACAGTTTGTTTATATTTGCACATCAAAGTTATATTAAAGTAACAGAAGACAAAAGCGATAGACAGACTCTCATTATTTTTCAATGAAATTATTATCAAAATTGAAGTTTCTAAAGGTTCCACTTCGATTATATTTCTTACTACATTAAATGAGTACTGAGAAATCCTACACGCATGCTCGAATATGACCTGAAAAAAAATGTATTTCAGATATTTTGAAAGGTCACAAATATTATAAACAGGGTGAGACCTTTCGTTTAAATTTATATTAATTTGGAAACGTCAACGTGGGAATAGAATATCCTGGTCTAGATTGTCGGAAAGTAAACTGATAGGAACTGGTGTTCGTAAAAATATACACCTGCCAGCATTTCTACTATCTCTTTTTCTTGTTATACATGCCTTCACAAGATGAAAGGTGGCCGGGGGAAGGGGATGGCGGGGAACACAGAGGAAGCAGATGTCAAGCATTATTAATTGTCGTTTTAGTTACCGCAATTTTCCCGTGTTTTCGTGTTTACCCATGGGAGCAACTATGAATAAATAGGTGGCGGGTCAAAAAGGCGAGGGTTCGAATAATAACATCTGATTAGACGAGGTTGACTAAATCTACGTATAACCAGGCAAAACTCCTTACTCAAATTGTCTCAACAAAAAGTGACCTTCATGTGTTGCTTTGCCGTATAACATCAATGCTAAACACTGTGCTTTGCCGTATAACATCAATGCCAAACACTGTGCAGTAAAGCATTAAGATCAAACATTATGCTCACCCAGCGCACAACGCGTCAGCATTTTGGGATGTGAGATGTTTGTAGCTGGTGCGCATTATCCTTGGAGGGATCTGGTAGTGATCTTTTTTAAAAACACGCTGCCACAAATTATATATCACCTGATTTATAATAATTAGTTGACAAATTTAATGTTTAAAATGGCAGAATTTTCTTTGTTAATTTGCTCTATATTATTTGGTAAGAATTTAGTCGTTTCTGTTATGCCATCCACAACTTAGTTAAAACATACAAATTTATATTTAGTATGAAAAATGATATGTTGCTGCTTGATCATGGTTTTCTTGAAGAACATGTGGTTTTTGATAATTTTTAAATGATCAATTTTGCGCACGAAGCAATACTGATTCCTAATTATAAGCTTTAAGCCTGATTATTACCATTGTGATAAACAGAGTAGCAGTCGAATGTAGTTTCCTCATGGTACATCTATCTGGTTCCAAATCATATATATATATATATATATATATATATATATATATATATATATATATATATATATATATATATATATATATATATATATATATATGGTGTTATAGTTTTTAACGTGTCTTTTAAAAATTTCTCAGTCATATCGCTACGATGTCTGCAGTGTGGCGGTTTATAGTGATGTCTAGCACTGGGATATCATGCCGCAGACATGTAGCATGATGTCCCACCCAGTCACATTCTGATGCCAGGCCGACCAGTCCTAACAGTAATATACACACAAATATATATATATATATATATATATATATATATATATATATATATATATATATATATATATATATATATATATATATATATATATATATATATATATATATATATATATATATATATATATATATATATATATATATATATATATATATATATATATATATATATATATATATATATATATATATATATATATTCAACCATGGGCACACGTAAACATGTTTCGGCCTATACCAGTAAAACGAAATAGTTGACCACTGTATGTCCCCCAGCTTAGTTGACGCCCCTGTATATAAATGTTTCGTATCTTCCTTGAAGCTTCGAGCGTCTTCTGGATATTTTTGCAAACAAATATTTTGCTTGAAGACATATCCTGTCTCAAAATGCATTGATTGTTTCAAGTAAAAAACGTGTCATCATCAATACTAGTACCATAGACGACTGCCAAATAATGCCGTACATATACGATGTGCCTAATATGTACATGTATCAATTGCATCTAACGGGATAATATTATTCATTATTTTCCGTTATGTCGGATTTTTTATTTCTTTTCTTGGGGTGGGTTGGGGTATAGTCTCTATTACTATTGTTGACCTAATTTTGACGACACTTGTTTAAACAAATGAAACTTTGTAACTACAAAACAGATTGTCCTGACGGCCTTAGATATTGTCATTTTATACTAGTTTGTTTCTGGCATCTTTTTATCATCTTATATGTATGAAAATAATGTTGATTAAATGTATTCGCATGATTTTTGTATGTCGATTTAATACACCTGCATGATTTTGATGTTGATTGACTATATCTGCATTTTATTTTTATGTTGATTGATTGTATCCGTACAATCTTAATGTTGATTATATATATATATATATATATATATATATATATATATATATATATATATATATATATATATATATATATATATATATGATTTTGATGTTGATTGAATGTACCCTTATGATTTTGGCTTGAAGGAAAAAGAAAATCACATTATCACCTGCGCTTACATATCATTTATACATAGGGTATAGTGACTTATTTAGTTGCAGACGTTGTCAAGTTTAAATACAATAATAGTTGAATGTAATGTTTTGTGGAGAATTATCAATGTTTAACTGGCAGTAAATACAATAATAGTATTAGATAAAATCATTACTGTTCCATAGAGAGTTATCGATGTTTAACTGGCAGCGGTGCTAATACACAATTATATGTCGTATACTAATAAGTAATCGTTTTTAAGGTAATAATCCGGAGTGGATGCATACGAGGGAGTGAGACTGTGTCTGGCATACACCAATATATAATCGCAGTTATAGCAATAATCTGGAGTGGATGCATACGAGGGAGTGAGATTGTGTTAGACTCATCATCATCATCATCATCATCATCATCATCATCATCATCATCATCATCATCATCATCATCATCATCATCAACAACATCAACAACATCATCATCATCATCTTCATCATCATGATCATCATCAATCCCTTAACCCAAGAGGTCGTTGGAGCACCATAGTTGACTTCACAATAAAAATCTCTCCATCTTTCCATGTTCTCTATCAATAACATTAAGTAGTCTTGCCAATGGTAATAATCCGGATTGGAAGAGGAAGTTAGAAAACGAAAGAGGGATGGAGATGGGGAGGATGTACATATTACGAAGCTAGTGAAAAGGAATAGTGAAAAGAGATGGGTGTAAGAAATACATATGCACGAATCTTCATGGTCCTCAAATGCAACATATATACACGAGTCTTCGTAGTGTTCTGATATCTTCACAGAAAGACACAATAGTTATATATGTAATTATAAAATAAGGCAACAGAAGTAGCCTATCTATATAATCTATCTGGCCTGTAACATTAGGTCAATGGCATGAATTTATGTACATATTTAACACTACCACTAATTCTGTTTCGTTTTATTTTGTACGTTTTCAGTGAAAACATAACAAGATGGCGATGAATATTGTTATAATTTTGTAATAAAGTTTAATATTTTGTTAATAACTTTGTTTCTCTATCCTTTTATATCCATAGGAGAGAAATTAATATGGAATTGTTTTTCTTTAGTAACATTAAGGAGTGAGTTCAGATTAATTGATTTGCATTTCAGCGGCTATAATCAATATTACTAAAAACTGGGAACCTGAATTATATTCAGAATTTATTCCACTTTTCTCTATGTGTGATTGTTTATGTCTTGGGATATCTTTACCTAAAATCATTGCTTTTCACCAATCTGCAAATACTTTCGCCAGCTTCCTTTCCAGTTGTTAGTTGCTTCGTCAGTCAATTAAGAAAATGCTTCAGGTGCATTTAGAAAAGAAGCGAGACAAACTATTAAAAGAAGCAAGCAATTTTGCGCGTTAGCAAATTAAGACGTAAATATGAAATCAGCTTTAAAAATGATTCATAAAGGCAAAATTGCTAGAAATAGCGTTAATCCTTTTGCTCTGAAAAGAAAATCCGTCCCGTACGCAAACAGACAGGAAAAATGCAGTGAATATGATGTATGCCTAATTAGGCCTACCCTTTTCATACGCTGAACAATCAATGAAATGAATCCTGTATTAAGTGGTGTACTTTATTCAGCAATTGAAACATTACATAGCTGTAATCACATGTTAACGTTTTTTGTGCATGTAAAACAATATATCGTGATACAAAGCAGTGTTAGGTATGCGTGTACACTTACAATCTCATAAACACTGCATACACCAAAGATGTGATGTGATCCCGACTTTTAACGTAGCTTTAACATTTTTTTCAGTCAGCAGCTGTTAGTACCATTTTTGTTAGTCTTTGGTATTACTCAACCGGGAATCGAACCTACGACAACCCGCATCCGAGGCGGACACTCTTACCACTAGGCCACATATCATAGAAAAGAAATATAATTGAGTCCAAGTGACGCTGATATTTCAATTTCATATTTTTACAACAATGAGCATGTGCATAAAATTTTCAAAATCTACGAGACACACCATTCAAAGCACCCCTACCCACCTGAGAAGCTACAACAATGTGACCCTGGGATGTACACTTAACTTCCCATTTTCGTGTTGCATGTTGATTTGGACAAGCTTGGTTGATCACGTTGCAGATGTTGTTACGGCTTGGTATAAACAAGGTCTAAATAATACTATAGCTTGGTGTCAATGCGGTGTAAATGATGATACGGCTTAGTATAATGAAAGCATAGTTTAAGGAACGGCTGGATATAATCACATTCCCGTTGCAGATGATGCTACAGCTTGGTATAATCACGGCGTACGTAATGTTACAGTTTGGTATAATCACGGCGTACGTGATGTTACAGTTTGGTATAATCACGGCGTACGTGATGCTACAGCTTGGTATAATCACGGCGTACGTGATGTTACAGCTTGGTATAATCACGGCGTACGTGATGTTACAGTTTGGTATAATCACGGCGTACGTGATGCTACAGCTTGGTATAATCACGGCGTACGTGATGTTACAGCTTGGTATAATCACGGCGTACGTGATGCTACAGCTTGGTATAATCACGGCGTACGTGATGTTACAGTTTGGTATAATCACGGCGTACGTGATGTTACAGCTTGGTATAATCACGGCGTACGTGATGTTACAGTTTGGTATAATCACGGCGTACGTGATGCTACAGCTTGGTATAATCACGGCGTACGTGATGTTACAGTTTGGTATAATCACGGCGTACGTGATGTTACAGTTTGGTATAATCACGGCGTACGTGATGTTACAGCTTGGTATAATCACGGCGTACGTGATGCTACAGCTTGGTATAATCACGGCGTACGTGATGCTACAGCTTGGTATAATCACGGCGTACGTGATGTTACAGCTTGGTATAATCACGGCGTACGTGATGCTACAGCTTGGTATAATCACGGCGTACGTGATGCTACAGCTTGGTATAATCACGTTGAAGATTGTTATAATCACAGTGTAGATGATGCTCCAGTTCGATATAATAGCGATGCATTTGATGCTACAACTTTGTATAATCACGGTTTTGTTGATGCTACAGCATAGCATAATCACGGTTTAGATAATGCTACATCTGGGTATGATCACGGTGTAGTTCATGTTACAGCTTGTTAGAATTACGGCATTGTTGATACTATAGCTTAGCATAATCTCGATGTAGATAATGCTACGTCTTGGTATAATCACGGTGTAGATGTTGCTATGTCTTGGCATAATTACGGTGTAGTTGATGCTACAATTTAGCATAATCACGGTGTAGTTTGTGCAACAGCTTGTATAATGACAGTGTAGATGATGCTACATCTTGGTATAATCACGGATAGTCATAGTGTATATGATGCTACAGGTTGGTATAGTCACGGTTTAGTTGATGCTAGAGCTTAGCATAATCACGGTGTAGATAATGCTACATCTTGATATGATCACGGTGTAGTTGATGTTACAGCTTGGTATTTATCACGGTTTTGTTGATGCTACAGCTTAGCATAATCACGGTGTAGATAATGCTACATCTTGATATGATCACGGTGTAGTTGATGTTACAGCTTGGTATTTATCATGGTTTTGTTGATGCTACCACTTAGCATAATCAAGGTGTAGATAATGCTACGTCTTGGTATAATCACGGTGTAGATGATGCTATATCTTGGTATAATTACGGTGTAGTCGATGCTACAGCTTAGCATAACTACGATGTAGTTCATGCTACAGCTTTTATAATCAGTGTAGATGACGCTATATATTGCTACATCTTGGCATAATCACGGATTATCACAGTGTAGATCTTGCTACAGGTTGGTATAGTCACGGTTTAGTTGATGGTATAGATTAGTATAATCAAGGTGTAGTTGATGTTGCAGCTTGGTATAATCACCGTGTAGATGATGTTACGGCTTAGTATAATCACGTTGTAGATGATGCTACGGCTTGGTATAATAACAGTGTAGATGATATTAACAGGATTTATTTTAACAGAGTTGTACTGATATTGCCGTTCAAAAATGAATAGTAAAATAATGAATTAAATCGATTAAGAGTTGTATACTAAAAACTGTACATCGATTGTGTAGAAACCATATATAGATGTTCTGAAAGATGTTGCATGTTAATGTTTTGTGTGAATTAAAACAGACTTGTCTAAACCTCAGAGTAAATTCAGGTAGATTTGAACAAAACCATTGCCTTAAAAGTATATGTACTTTCTGCACTTAAGATGTTGAAACTTTATTTGATTTCCGCTATGTGTGGTCATAGGGGATTTTGACGTCATCGTCGTTGGCATTTATGAAGGTATTTGCACGTACAACACTTTTAAGAAGAGACGGTCCTCTGCTTTGCGAAGTAAAATAAGAACATATTATTTTCAGTTTGTATGTGGTTTATGCACGTATTAAAAAACAGAAACCAACTTAAAGATTCATGTATCACAAACACTAGATAAGAATTTGAAATGACTCATTTTTCTGATGTCTTGTTGGCCAGCTCTCCTAATACTGCCAGATAAAATGTTTTGGATGTATGATGGCGCAGTAATTACAGAAAAATCACATTTTGTTGGATAGAAATTTCTCTGCAGTAAGGTAACCTCAATCATTTTGGATCACCTTCAATATTTCTAGAATTGAATATACTGTAAAATCGACTGATGAAATGCGAGTGAAAACAATAGTTTCTTTGTCAGATTTTATTTCGTAAATAACCTAACGGATCCGAATGTTATACCGTTAATTAATAATCCGAAGGATTGACCTAGCAGATTGTAATGCAAACATTTATCTCACTGATCAGATTTTCAAAGCTTCATTTCCTTTTAATGAAAGAAAAACTATACAATGAAAGTTATATCATTAATAATGCGTACATTCTCTACATATATTTTATTTAGATCAAATACATGTATTTGCCATTTAAACGGTGTTAGATTGACGAGAGGCAACTGTGTATTGGCTGGGTAAATGAAGTCATCCCTGCCGAGTGTGTAAGCTACAAAATGTGTTTCTGTATTTTTTGTGCATGTTTAAAATCATCTTTTTATATAGATAAGTTGATTGATTTTATGTTTGAGCTTCTATTTTATTCGCATGGATTAAATCAGTATAAGTTACACTTATGATTTATACATGAAAGATGGTTTTAATGAAGAAAGTAGAGCATTAAGCCTAGAAACACGTAGATTTTTTAATACTGAACGCTCATCAATGCACTGGCAAACAGGCGCAAGGACATTAGAGTGGAATATGATCTAAGCGAAACGACTAGCCAATGAAAAGTAATAAAAATATTTTAATATATTTAAAGTTGATATAAGTCATTATTCTGCTTTAATTAATATTACTACTGACCATAAACCTCTCTCTCTCTCTCTCTCTCTCTCTCTCTCTCTCTCTCTCTCTCTCTCTCTCTCTCTCTCTCTCTCTCTCTGGTCTGTTTGACTTAACATATACCATTATTCTTCATAGATTCAGAGATGTTGTGGTACTACATAGGCGAAAATACTCCATTCACGTCTTTTCATGAATTTTCGCCCTCATCCTGATACGATGGTCAACATAAAGGTATGGTAGATGCATTTGGATATTTTCGTATTTAATTAATAATTATCGATTTTCAGAAACTTATAATAGGTTAACCCCCCCCTCCATCAACTAAGACTTAAATACATTACATATGTGTACCCCGTAACCAAAACATTTACTTTTTTCTGTCGCCTGACAGTTGCAAATTTGTATCATCGAGTAATTCAAATTTTTATGAATTGACTGCGTGTTCTGCAATTTGATTGGATATAAACAGTCACATGATATTGATCTGGATTTTTTATAACCATTTATAAATTATGCGGACCACTTTTAGTTCCTTGTTTCCATGTCATTTGATGTGAAGTTTTATCTATATCAACCCATTACACACTAATAAAAACAACAAGAAAAGCCCACCCACGCACTCTTGTGATTTCCATTCAAAAGATAACACCCACATACATAAATGTAACTGCACACATCTTCCTGCACTCCACTATTCATCCCTATTGCTGACAAGGACATGTGATACGCTTTACAATACAATCTTCGGAAATTATTGGATTTCACCTCAACAACATGTTACAGCAGCAGTTATTAAAGGTCAGGGTCATAAGTCAAACAAGGGATCTCACTAAAACTGGAAATGACTAGAAAGTAAAAATAACGTTGCTATAACAGCACATGACATCATACATAAGCGTAATTTTCGAAAACAAAGGAATATCCTGATTTAACCACAACAATCGTTTTCTTTAAATATAAAATTAATGATTACAACAAGATATCACTGGCATGGCCCTCTTTGGAATTCTATCCCATATTACTGTATAAAGTAGGGGTGCACAATGCGTTGATCTCAAAAGGTATTGTGAGTAGATCGCGTAGCATCTAAAAAAATAGACGTCAGCCTTTATAGGTTTTGCTTTTTTGTGGTAGATAGATCATTTTGGCTTGGTCATTTTATAAGTAGCTCGCATGCAGAAAAAGTTTGTGCACACCTGGTATAAAAGTATCGACGAATCTTGGCTAGAGAAGATCGGGCTGTCTACTATATATTCTATCGCAGTTAAGAGGTTAATGAAACAACGTCGATCTACATAAAATTTTGAATGTTTTGTTGATTAAATATACTGATCTGATGTCAATAAAGAAGTAAATTGGAATTATAAGGATTAAATGATCATGGCTGGGTATTTATCGATGTGTAAATTTTACCTAGTCATTCACAATGTTAACATAAAGTCTTTTATAACTTTATTTACTTTGTGAGTGATTAGGTAAAATGTACGCATCGATAACTACCCAACCATGATCATTTAATCCTAAATTATACAAACACTTTGGATAGGTCCCAAGAGAGGTG